AAAATTAATTTTTTGTTACAGTGTGTGTATGTGGGTATGCACATGCCACAGTAAACATGCGTCAGTGATAAAACAACTTTGTGGACTTTTCACTGTAGCCAACAACAGCAACAGTCTATACACAGAGCCACACATATTAGAAGACAATTTTATACACCCATCATATTGGCCTAATGAAACAAAAGCAGCAGCTTCTTCTCTGGGGCCTCTGATGTAACCAGGGAATTAGGTAGGCTAATTGCAAATCTTCACCTTTCCCTCATTCCACAAAGCCTAATCTCCCAGTGTCATCCCTAGCTCTGTATCAGACTTTCTGCTGTGGCCTTTCCAGTCTCTCTTTCTCTCTATGTTTTTCTCTGTGTGTGTCTCATTTTACCTGGGTCTACCAGTTTTCTACCAGATGACATACAACCTAGAAACATGCTCCTAAAATCCAGAGAGGAAACAGAAAAAAAAGAACAATGCTCCAAAACGACAAAGATAAAACCAGATATCAGCTATCAGCAGCACCTAGAATTACAGTCTTCCCAATCCCAGATGCCTACAAGCCAGCATAAAGACACTACCAATGCCAGCCAGGGCAATATGTCTCTGCTAGAGCCTGTCAACAGTACCATAGAAAGCCCTGACTGTTCGAACATGATTGAAGCACAAGAAAAAAAGACCTTCCTTAAAATAGCCTTTACAAATATGATGTAGGTACTTAAAGAGAAAATTAAGAGATCCTTTCAGTAAATCTGTGAAACCACAAACTGTGGAGGGAAATGAATAAAACACAGTTGAAGACCTAAAAATTGAAACAGAATAAATAAAGAAAACCTAAACCAAAGGAATTTCAGGAAATGGAGCAGAAAAAAAAAAAGGTAGGAATTCAAATAGAAACCTCAGAGGCAAACCTCACCAACACAATACAATAGATGGAATTAGAGAATAAGAAGCATTGAGAATATAATAGAAAGATTAGATACATTGCCCAAAGAAAATGTTAAATAAAAAAGGAAAAGGAAAAGAAAACTAGCAGCCAAACTTTGGGCAGAGTGCAGGGAATCTTATGAAATAATGGTGAGACGGAAACATCTGGAAGGGTCTGGAGCTCCACAAGGACATCAAAAGAACCAAAAACCCTGGGCCTAAGGTTCCTTTCTGAGACTGATACTCCAACGAAGGATATTCATGGAGATAGCCTAAAACTCCTGCACAGATGCAGTCCACGAGGGCTCAGTTTTCATCTGTTACACTGCCGTGTGCATTTCCCTGCTCATGTGCCACAGTTTTCATTTCTTAGAGCCCACCATGGTTCTCAGGGATTGAACTCAGATCATCACGCTTGTGCAGCAAGTTTGTCTGCCTGCAGAAGGACCTGCTGCTGCTGCACAAGTGTGTGTCTGTGTGTGCGATTTTCCTACAAGTGTGTACTGTACGCTGGGCACATCCCCCGCCCCCCACAATACTATTATCCTTCTCCTCACCTCATCTATCATTCCTTTCATCTCTCAGGACAGCCTCACTTTGTTCATTTCATAGAGGCGCCCATGCTTTTACACATGTGCAAAGTGTAGGAACACACACACACTGAGTAAAACAAATAAAATTTTAAACTAAAAATGCAGGCAGTCTTTTTGTTCAGCTTTCATTAGCATAAGCTTTTGCTTTGATTTTTTTCTACAAAATTCATGTATAATGGATAACAGTCAATCAGCCTGAAATTTTTCTTTAATGTTGATAATGGCTTTTTCATTGATATCCTTGGGATTTTCATACATGTTATCATACTATCTGAAGATAAAAATAACTTACCCCTTCCTTTTTAATTCTTACGCCTTTGTATTAGTATCAACCAAAGCCTTCAACATAATATTGTATGACAGAATACGGAGCCTTGTTAATTTGTAATTCATAGTAGTAGCAGGACTTAACATACTACTCTTCCTCCATTCTGACCGCAGTTTTATTCTGTCTGTCAGGGTGATCTCCCCTTGGTCGGGCACGATGGTAGAAACAGAAGGGTGGTGTTGCTGCGCCCTCTTCTGGCCAAAGGTGGTCATGTCCTGAAGAAACGAGCTCTGCGCACCAGGTGTGGGGAGCCACCTCGTGGAAGAAAGCATCCATTGCGCCTGATCTTTGTTTTCTCCCGCAGTGCGACGGTGGTGACCGGAATCACTCCCAACTCAAGCACCTCCCCTCTCTCCAAGAAACCCAACCTCAGCCATAAAGGAAAGACACACGTGGACCTCAAGTGAGATTCATGCTCCTATAAACAAATATATTTATGATGATCTAATAGGAAGTTAATTGTGGTTGTAGGACATCAAGAAGAAATTGCCCTTCGTAGTGGCAGGAGTAGGAACCCTGGTTTACATGAATAGCTCCAGGCTAAATCCAAACAGAAAGAAACCCTCTGTTCCAAAATACAATGCTTAGTATTTAGCAACCAACATGAACATGTCTTTGCAGACTCATGCCCCTTCCTGCACAGTGTAAGGTCAAGTTTTCTTATGCCAAGAGAACATTCATGAGAAATCAAACCAGATCAACCAGGCAGATAAGAACAGAATTGATTAAAACAATAATGTAGAAATGTAAAGCTAAGTTTGACAGATGATATCTTGAAAGCTAAACTGGCTGACCTTGTACTACTTAAAAAATAAAATAAAAATAAGGTTTGTTGAGATGGCTCAGAGCATAAGGTCATTTTTTGCTAAGTCTGAGGACCTGAGTTAAATCCCTGTGACCAACTCCTGCAAGTTCTTCTCTTATGTCAAGGCATTCCTCTCCACCTCCAATTAGTAAACAAACAGAAACATTTGATTTTAAAACTCCATATGAAATAAAGATAAGGACTGGAGACATGGCTCAAAGTTAGTTAAGAGCTGTTCCAGCACCTGTTCCAGAGGTCAAGAGATCTAGAATGAGATCTGGTGCCCTCTTCTGTCGTGCAGGTGTACATGCAAACAGAACACAGTATATATTAAAAAATCAATACATCTTTTTTTAAAAAAAGAACATTGTATAATAAATAATTATCATAAATATTTAGAAAAAATAGGTTAGGAAGTCTACATGCATTTCATTTCAAATTACAACTATATCTACTGCTACTTTAAATATTTTGAATCCTATAGCATTTTTATTTATAACGAACACTATCACTTCCGTACCTTTGAAAGCAGTGTCATTCGTGTAACACCTTGAAGCTAAGTCATCTATGTACTACTGCCATTTAAGTAGAGGAAGAACAGTTCTGTGTGTGTGTTTAGGCAAAATTAAGTATTTGAAAAAAAACACAAAAAACAAGTGTTTGCGAGTGTTTCAGGGGAAGGAGCCTTAGAAAGGAAATTTCTGACTGAGCTGCCTAGTCGGGAAGAGGGGGAAATAGAAAGAAAAATATATACACAAAGACCACAAAAAAGAGAGGATGTGAGAGGGCTTTTTTCCTCATTTTTCAAGAAACCCTGCCTCAAAACCAACCAAACACAGACTTCTCTGTGTTTAGCCCTGGCAGGGCTGGATCTTTAGAAGACCAAGCTACATTGGAGATCACAAAAAACACTTGAATTTTCTCTTCTCAAAATGTATTCAGTAGATATCCCAGGAGCACCACGCTCATTCCCTTCCTTTTCCCCTGTATGCAGGTCCCCCAGCACATCGAAGCACCAGCGGCAACTAACGGCGTTGACTTTCAAGTGCTGTGATCAAGGAGGCCTCAACGACCTAAAAACAATTTTCAGAGTGGCTCTGTGGTCCCTGGGTAGCCTTCGGAAAGAGCCTTTGAAGGTTACGGTGAGCAACTTTGCTTCCCTTTTCCCATCATGCAATTCTTTTATGCAAATAAAGCATTTCTCTGGTTGCTGGTAATTCTGATTGGCTGCCTGATTCTGACATTTTTATGTCTCCGAAGCAGGAAAAAGGAACCCAGCGTTTGCTGCCTAAGGTTTTGTTTGTTTGTTGTAGTACGGTTGAAACGCAGATCCCTGCTTGCCAGCCTCCCGCCCCTTCTTCCTCTCTCTTTGTAGTCTACGGGCGTTTTTGGCCTCCGCCTGCCATAAGAAACTGACTTCCAGGTTAACAACACCTATTTAAAACAACCAAACAAGCCAGGCAGTGGTGGTGCACGCCTTTAATCCCAGCCTTCGGCAGGCAGAGACAGGCGGAGCTCTGTGATTTCTAGGCTAAGTGGTCTACAAAGAGAGTCCGGGACAGCGAGAAACCTGCCTCGAAAAGCCGCACACACAAAACAACAACAAACAGGACAAACAAGCCCAAGTGCAGGAGCGTCCCTGGAAGCCCAGACTTCCTCCAGACGTCACTGTGGCTGCGCACTCGAGCCGTGGCTCTTTGTGTCTCTTAGGGTCTTCTCGCTTCAAATGACGGGGGAGACAAGCGGACGCTAGGGGCTTGGAGACATGGCTCTGCGGTTAAGAGCACCCACCGTCTGCTCTTCCAGAGGTCCTGAGTTCAACTCCCAGCAAACACATGGTGCGTCGCAATCATCTATAATGGGATCTGATGCCCTCTTCTGGCGTGTCCAGGACAGCAAAGGCTAAACAGAGAAACCCTGACTTGAAAAACATCTACGAAAGCATCAAGAGGAGGAGCCCAGACTGTGCCTCTGAATGCGAGTCCTAGCCGGACTCCGCTGCTCGTGCCCCGAGGCACCTAGTTGCTTTGCTCAGGAAGACTGTGGTACATGTTTTTGACCTATGGAAGGACAGGCTGCCTCCTGTGCGCCGGTCATCCTGGGCGCTGCGCAGGAGAGTTCCAAGCCGCCTTGTTCCTTTTCTGCGGGGGGAATCTCGCATGTGCATGGCCATGGTACCAGGACAATACATCGTTTCTATTGAAGTCGAAAGAGAGAGCCTGGCCGGGGGCCGGTATCTCTGAACACGATCGAACTTCTCTTTGAGACCATTAAATCCGAAGTCGAGAGAGAGATTGGCCAGAAGAGGTCGCCAAAACACCATTTTTAAATTTCATTGACTTGGGACCTTTTTTTTCCTTTGTTTTTCTGTTTCGCTGTCACATGTTTTTTTAGGTGGGTTCTGTTTTGTTTTTTTGCAGCTCTAGCCGTCCTTGAACTTGCACTGCCTGGAACACAGACAGCCTGCCTCGATCTCTACCTCCAGGGTTCTCTGTTCACAGGCACGTGCCACCACTCCCGGATTCTTTACACGTGGCTCGGGGCTATGGTCAGCACATTTCTCTGAGACCCCTTGTGTAATTAATTACTTACTGTGTGCAGGGAGCACTCCTTAGTGTGTATGTGAAGGTCAGAGGATAAACACAGGTGCCCAGGTACCTTTTTATTTTTAATTTTATTTTTGACCAGGGTCTTTTGAGAGGGCAACATAAAATCTATCTTGTCTCCATTCTTGGACCAGGCCTGACTTTAAAAGAAAATCTAGGCCAGAGGTCACCAATTCCAGGAACAAGACTATAAAATCCTCCACCCAAGACAGCCTGGAGATAACCGACAAGAACTGGAAATTATCTTATCTCAGGGTGGGGCATCTATGCTGGGCAGCCCCACCTTGTAGGAGAACTTTCAGGGCAGGGAAAAATAGCTCACATTCTTGAGGTCTGTAGATAGCTCACTGTGTTAGTTTTGTTAGTTACGCATTCACTTTGTAACAAGCTTGCCCTCAATTATCGTCAACCCCCCAAAAAAACCCTACTTTGCATCTGTGTGGGGCTCTTCTCCCTGGTCCATTGCCTCGGTAACAGAGACTGCTTACGCCCTAATAAAGCTCTTTGCTCTTGCATATGTGGTCAGGTCAGGCTCTCCTCGTGGTGGTCTTTGGGAACCTAAGATCTGAGCATAACACTTTCTGTGTAGTCCTGGCATTTGAGGAAATCAGTAACTACACCAGGCCAACAAATCAGAGGTCTGCCTTCTTCACCTGCCTCCTTAATTGTTTTGAAGTCGTGTAAACTTCTCCCAGCCTAGGAGGCATTTTAAAGCACTGTCGGTAAATTAAGAAAATGCACCTGGCCTAAGGTGGGGCTACACAGTCACAGTGAAAGCTGCTTTCCCTTTCAGGTCATGTTATCAACAGATGTCAACAAACATGGTCGGTGAATTTGGAAGAGTCGAATTGTCTTCTTCCAAGGTCAACGGAAGTCTTATGGAAACAGCAGGCAATCTTGGAAAGAGCAGTCGGAGGTCTCGCTGTGCGCACCATGCAACCGTGAAATACTTTCACCAAAGATATCTTCCAGCAAAGTGTACAAGGTAAGATTACAAAGATTAAAAAAATATTTTATTTTTATTAATTACAGTTCATTCTCTTTGTATCCCAACTGTAGCCTCCTGCCCCATCCCCTCCCAATCTCACCCTCCCTCCCTCTTCTCCTATGCCCCTCAAGATTACATAGATTTTTTACTAGCTGCCTGTCTGTGAACCCTGTGCATGCCTTGGTACATTCAGAGGCCAACAAAGGGGCAAATCTTCTGAAATTAGAGTAAGCTGCTTGCTGGGGATTTACTTGCTTCTGCCTCCCCAGTGTGAATTTAGTTTAGTTTAGTTAGGTTAGTTTTGTTTTGTTTAGTGTTGTCGTTTTCTTAATGAAGGTACATTGGTTTATTTTGGTATTTGTGTTTTCTGTGTGCTTAAGGGTTTCTTTGCAAAGTCACTATAGACTGTGTTCTATATTCATGTGTAGAAACTATACAACAACAACAAAAATGAAATAAACAGATTATAAACTTCTGCTTTGAACTCATCATGAGCATACGGATGCCATGTGGTCAACAGCTGAGCAAATTTAGGAATTTAGCAAATCTAGACTATACTTCTCTTTCTCTCTCTCTCCCCAGCCCTGGAGTTCGTCCGTCTTTCTTTCTTTCTTTCTTTCTTTCTTTCTTTCTTTCTTTCTTTCT